CCCCCCTCCCACACACACACAGACACGAAGTCACAGGATGGACATACAGAATAATCCTATTCTCGGACACTTGATAATTGTTTTTTTCTTCCAAATCCTAGGCATTCATGACAGACACTTATAGAACTTTGTAATTCTAAGGCTGCGATATATCATAACCATCGGTGTCTTCACCTGGTAGTTCCATATCCTGATGGCTCCGGCGTCTTCCCCTGTGACCAGGTACGGTTTATCCCCGCCGGGGTGGTAGTCCACGCAGTTCACGTCGTTCTCGTGGTGCAGCGTGAAGTTTGGCGCCAGGGAGCCCAACTGCCATACCTGGGTCAGGTGACAACAAGGTGAGTGCAATTGTAAATAAATAAATAAATAAATAAAATACATTGTAATAGCATTCCTTTGCTCGGACGCTCTTATAAAAGCTATGTTTCCCTGATCTTTCCCCTTTCCCCATTTTTGTAGGTTCTCTTGGGATGATCTGGGCCTACCCCAGCCTCATTTGCCTTCAGTTTTTGCCAGTGAGAGCTAGATGTTCAAGACCTTTATGTCCATTCAGGTGTCAACATTGAGCGTCTCACGTGGACTCCTCAAGCACTACCTCATTTGACTTCTTTTCCTTCCACGATATTCTCAGCAGTCTCCTAAGAAACCACAATTTTGTTGCTTCTATTTATTGATATTATTAGATTAATAACTGAATTTTAAAAAGCCAAAATACACTAGATAGGGTTTGTTACCTTCACTGTCCCGTCCAGAGAGGCAGAAGCAAACTGGTTATTGTCTTTTGGGTTGAAAGCCACGTGGAACACATAGTTAGCGTGACCTTTGAAGATCTGAACACACGCCCATTTCTTCTCCCAGTTCCACAATTTGATCCTGCCGTCATCTGTTCAAGATACGTAGCGTGAGAGAAACATTTTTAGAGTTAAAAAACCCCCCAACAAATAAACTTCATGGAGACCCCACAAGGGCAAGCATGGAAAAGTAAGCAAAAATTTAATGGTATAGAAATGAAATGGCGCAAAAGGAAGAAAACATAACAGTTAAATTGACACTTGTAATAAATGAAACCAACAAACACCCCAATAGAGCTCAGCAACAAAAGCAGACAAAAAACACAGCGAAGAGACAGAGAGTGGCGAAACAGAATACCACAGCATGGCACAAAATACAATAAAAGCAAAATTGAAACTGGTGAGCAATGAAAAAAGTAAAAAAGTAAAAAAAATTACATATATTCAATACCGTATATTTAAAAAATGTAAAAGTATATTGAATGCACATGACAACACTCTAAAACATTTATACATAATACTATAAAAAAAAAAATTGTAACGTTGATATACATTCCAGCAGAAACATAGCGAGATATTCCATAAAAAGAACTTCCCCTCTTAGTGGGAATCAAACTTGTATCTTCTGCGTGCAACGGCCAAAAGGTGGGATATGTTTGCCTTTTTTGTCTGAGGATGTAATTCTGTAAATGTAAATGTGAGGCAGCGTGGTGGAATCAGGCTCTCGTCAAAATAATCAAAGAGAAGAAACTTGCATTTTTCCGAAGGTTTGTGAATTTTTATCAAATATTAGTTTTTTGGCTCAACACCTTTCATGCCCATTAAAGAACTCATTTCTCTGTTAATTTTTCTTAAAAACGTTGATTAAAGGCACAAAAAATGTAAATTTTCGGTTACCACAGACTCTTAAGTTGAGGAAATAACCAATCTTCGGCGGCCATTTTCTCACTAATTTTACCTCTGAAAACAGGTGACCCCCACCTCCTTCATTCTCAAATATCTCGACTTGTATTTAAGATAAACGGATATTTTTTTCTTCCAAATAAAGACAATTGAACAAGCTTTAAGATGATACCAATAACTCTATGTGCCCAAAAATTGATGAGAGCCTGATTCCACCACGCTGCCTCACAAATGATTAGAAATTAACTCCCCAAAGACACCAGTAGCATCATAATTAATATAGCAGAATGTATGAAATACACCTTACACTTCTTTTTTTTATTCCAAATGTACTGACGATGTCTCTTCTTTGGAACATATCAAGGAAGTCAAGATCAAAAAGAGAGGGAAGTAGTACTTGGGCAGTCAACTTCCTCTACTTCACCGCCCAAGCAAAGCTGTATCATGTATACTGCTGTAAGATCTACTTCCTCTATGTCTACCACACAAAGCTGTATCATGTATACAGCTGTAAGATCT